CATGTACCATCATGTGACAATAGCAGCCTACACCCCATGCCATGTACCATCATGTGACATTAGCAGCCTACACCCCATGCCATGTACCATCATGTGACAATAGCAGCCTACACCCCATGTCATGTACCATCATGTGACAATAGCAACCTACACCCCATGCCATGTACCATCATGTGACAATAGCAGCCTACACCCCATGCCATGTACCATCATGTGACAATAGCAGCCTACACCCCATGCCATGTACCATCATGTGACAATAGCAGCCTACACCCCATGCCATGTACCATCATGTGACAATAGCAGCAGCCTACACCCCATGCAATGTACCATCATGTGACAATAGCAGCCTACACCCCATGCCATGTACCATCATGTGACAATAGCAGCCTACACCCCATGCCATATACCATCATGTGACAATAGCAGCACTACAACCCATGCCATGTACCATCATGTGACAATAGCAGCCTACACCCCATGTCATGTACCATCATGTGACAATAGCAGCCTACACCCCATGCACATGTACCATCATGTGACAATAGCAGCCTACACCCCATGCCATGTACCATCATGTGACAATAGCAGCCTACACCCCATGCCATATACCATCATGTGACAATAGCAGCCTACACCCCATGCCATGTACCATCATGTGACAATAGCAGCCTACACCCCATGCCATGTACCATCATGTGACAATAGCAGCCTACACCCCATGCCATGTACCATCATGTGACAATAGCAGCCTACACCCCATGCCATGTACCATCATGTGACAATAGCAGCCTACACCCCATGCCATGTACCATCATGTGACAATAGCAGCCTACACCCCATGCCATGTACCATCATGTGACAATAGCAGCCTACACCCCATGCCATGTACCATCATGTGACAATAGCAGCCTACACCCCATGCCATGTACCATCATGTGACAATAGCAGCCTACACCCCATGCCATGTACCATCATGTGACAATAGCAGCCTACACCCCATGCCATGTACCATCATGTGACAATAGCAGCCTACACCCCATGCCATGTACCATCATGTGACAATAGCAGCCTACACCCCATGCCATGTACCATCATGTGACAATAGCAGCCTACACCCCATGCCATGTACCATCATGTGACAATAGCAGCCTACACCCCATGCCATGTACCATCATGTGACAATAGCAGCCTACACCCCATGCCATGTACCATCATGTGACAATAGCAGCCTACACCCCATGCCATGTACCATCATGTGACAATAGCAGCCTACACCCCATGCCATGTACCATCATGTGACAATAGCAGCCTACACCCCATGCCATGTACCATCATGTGACAATAGCAGCCTACACCCCATGCCATGTACCATCATGTGACAATAGCAGCCTACACCCCATGCCATGTACCATCATGTGACAATAGCAGCCTACACCCCATGCCATGTACCATCATGTGACAATAGCAGCCTACACCCCATGCCATGTACCATCATGTGACAATAGCAGCCTACACCCCATGCCATGTACCATCATGTGACAATAGCAGCCTACACCCCATGCCATGTACCATCATGTGCCAATAGCAGCCTACACCCCATGCCATGTACCATCATGTGACAATAGCAGCCTACACCCCATGCCATGTACCATCATGTGACAATAGCAGCCTACACCCCATGCCATGTACCATCATGTGACAATAGCAGCCTACACCCCATGCCATGTACCATCATGTGACAATAGCAGCCTACACCCCATGCCATGTACCATCATGTGACAATAGCAGCCTACACCCCATGCCATGTACCATCATGTGACAATAGCAGCCTACCACCCATGCCATGTACCATCATGTGACAATAGCAGCCTACACCCCATGCCATGTACCATCATGTGACAATAGCAGCCTACACCCCATGCCATGTACCATCATGTGACAATAGCAGCCTACACCCCATGCCATGTACCATCATGTGACAATAGCAGCCTACACCCCATGCCATGTACCATCATGTGACAATAGCAGCCTACACCCCATGCCATGTACCATCATGTGACAATAGCAGCCTACACCCCATGCCATGTACCATCATGTGACAATAGCAGCCTACACCCCATGCCATGTACCATCATGTGACAATAGCAGCCTACACCCCATGCCATGTACCATCATGTGACAATAGCAGCCTACACCCCATGCAATGTACCATCATGTGACAATAGCAGCCTACACCCCATGCCATGTACCATCATGTGACAATAGCAGCCTACACCCCATGCCATGTACCATCATGTGACAATAGCAGCCTACACCCCATGCCATGTACCATCATGTGACAATAGCAGCCTACACCCCATGCCATGTACCATCATGTGACAATAGCAGCCTACACCCCATGCCATGTACCATCATGTGACAATAGCAGCCTACACCCCATGCCATGTACCATCATGTGACAATAGCAGCCTACACCCCATGCCATGTACCATCATGTGACAATAGCAGCCTACACCCCATGCCATGTACCATCATGTGACAATAGCAGCCTACACCCCATGCCATGTACCATCATGTGACAATAGCAGCCTACACCCCATGCCATGTACCATCATGTGACAATAGCAGCCTACACCCCATGTCATGTACCATCATGTGACAATAGCAGCCTACACCCCATGCCATGTACCATCATGTGACAATAGCAGCCTACACCCCATGCCATGTACCATCATGTGACAATAGCAGCCTACACCCCATGCCATGTACCATCATGTGACAATAGCAGCATACACCCCCATGTCAGTACCATCATGTGACAATAGCAGCCTACACCCCATGCCATGTACCATCATGTGACAATAGCAGCCTACACCCCATGCAATGTACCATCATGTGACAATAGCAGCCTACACCCCATGCCATGTACCATCATGTGACAATAGCAGCCTACACCCCATGCCATGTACCATCATGTGACAATAGCAGCCTACACCCCATGCCATGTACCATCATGTGACAATAGCAGCCTACACCCCATGCCATGTACCATCATGTGACAATAGCAAGCCTACACCCCATGCATGTACCATCAGTGCCAATAGCAAGCCTAACACCCATGCCATGTACCATCATGTGACACTAGCAGCCTACACCCCATGCATGTACCATCATGTGACAATAGCAGCCTACACCCCATGCCATGTACCATTCATGTGACAATAGCAGCCTACACCCCATGCCATGTACCATCATGTGACAATAGCAGCCTACACCCCATGCCATGTACCATCATGTGCCAATAGCAGCCTACACCCATGCCATGTACCATCATGTGACAATAGCAGCCTACACCCCATTGCCATGTACCATCATGTGACAATAGCAGCCTACACCCCATGCCATGTACCATCATGTGACAATAGCAGCCTACACCCCATGCCATGTACCATCATGTGACAATAGCAGCCTACACCCCATGCCATGTACCATCATGTGGACAATAGCAGCCTACACCCCATGCCATGTACCATCATGCGACAATAGCAGCCTACACCCCATGCCATGTACCATCATGTGACAATAGCAGCCTACACCCCATGCCATGTACCACATGTGACAATAGCAGCCTACACCCCATGCCATGTACCATCATGTGACAATAGCAGCTACACCCCCATGCCCATGTACCATCATGTCGACAATAGCAGCCTACACCCCAGGCATGTACCATCATGTGCCAATAGCAGCCTACACCCATGCCATGTACCATCATGTGACAATAGCAGCCTACAACCCCATGCCATGTACCATCATGTGCCAATAGCAGCCTACACCCCATGCCATGTAACCATCATTGTGACAATAGCAGCCTACACCCCATGCCATGTACCATCATGTGACAATAGCAGCTACACCACATGCAATGTACCATCATGTTGCCAATTAGCAGGCCCTACACATGCCATGTACCATCATGTGACAATAGCAGCTACACCCCCATGCCATGTACCATCATGTGATCAATAGCAGCCTACACCCCATGCCATGTACCATCATGTGACAATAGCAGCCTACACCCCCCATGCCATGTACCATCATGTGACCAATAGCAGCCTACACCCATGCCATGTACCACTCATGTGCCAATAGCAGCCTCCACCCCATGCCATGTACCATCATGTGACAATAGCAGCCTACACCCCATGCCATGTACCATCATGTGACAATAGCAGCCTACACCCCATGCCATGTACCATCATGTGACAATAGCAGCCTACACCCCATGCCATGTACCATCATGTGACAATAGCAGCCTACACCCCATGCAATGTACCAATCATGTGACAATAGCAGCCTACACCCCATGCCATGTACCATCATGTGACAATAGCAGCCTACACCCCATGCCATGTACCATCATGTGACAATAGCAGCCTACACCCCATGTCCATGTACCATCATGTGACAATAGCAGCCTACACCCCATGCCATGTACCATCATGTGACAATAGCAGCCTACACCCCCATGCCATGTACCATCATGTGACAATAGCAGCCTACACCCATGCCATGTACCATCATGTGACAATAGCAGCCTACACCCCATGCCATGTACCATCATGTGACAATAGCAGCCTACACCCCATGCCATGTACCATCATGTGCCAATAGCAAGCCTACACCCCATGCCATGTACCATCATGTGACAATAGCAGCCTACACCCCATGCTCATGTACCATCATGTGACAATAGCAGCCCTACACCCCATGCCATGTACCATCATGTGACAATAGCAGCCTACACCCCATGCCATGTACCATCATGTGCCAATAGCAGCCTACACCCCATGCCATGTACCATCATGTGCCAATAGCAGCCTACACCCCATTCCCTGCGTCATCACTTGCCAGTCATCCCAAGCGTCTCAACCATCGTTACATCTTGGCGTGTCATCTCACCTGACTTGCAGTCGTACGGTTCCTGGCGTGTCATCTCAGCGGCCACGCCCATCCCCCAGCCGCACACGCGCGGGGGTTGCTGTCGCACGGGGTGCAAAGGAGAACGTTCTCTGCCTGCTGCCACCAGGGGGGGGTGTGGCGAGGCGGGAAGGGCAGGAGTTGGCGTTAAACGATGGGGAAGATCTCAGCTGCTCGCAAAGGGTGCAAAGGAGAACGTTCTCTGCCTGCTGCCACCAGGGGGGGAAGGACAGGAGGTGATGTTGATTGGAATGAGCTTCATGCTCTCATGTGCTCTCACATGCTCTCACATGCTCTCACATGCTCTCACGTGCTCTCATATATTCTCCATGCAATGATGCATGTGCTCTAACGCCAGGACTAAGAGCGGCACATGTGCTCGTTGTACGCGCTGTAGCCTTCTGCGGTATACCTGTAACCGTGAAAACGCACCATGACACCTCGGTGTAACATGTTGTGCTCGTGCATGTGCTTTAGCGCCACTTGCAGCAATGCATGTGCTCATTGTACGCGTTTTAGCACTCTGCAGTATACGCACCGTGACACCTCGGTGTAACATGTTGTGGTAGTGCATGTGCTCTAGCGCCAGGGCCACTTGTAGCAGCCAGTCAACAATAGACTTCTCGGGTATGCTGGGATGGGCAAGATCAAGGAGAAGAAGCAGGAGAGCCGTTTGAGAAGAGATTTTTGCACTGTTCTTGTGCGGGTGCTTGGGTCGTGAGGGAGTTATGGGAAGGGGAGAGAGGATGGCCGTAGTAGCATTGTTGTGAGGGCAGCGGAGAAGAAAAAACAAGGCAGCACTGTCGCGAGGGCAGCACAAACCCCTTTCACTCACAACGGCTTATTGCCCTTCATGGCTTCTTATCAGCGACTTTTGGGTCGACTCAAATGTTAAGCCTCTTTCACTCACAACGACTTGTTGTCCTCATGACTTTTTATCAGCTCCGAAAGCGCGCCTTCTCCGCCACAGTGCTCCGTCACTGTATCAAACGAAGCCATACACGAATAGTTAGGCTCGAAGTTTGCACTCTGTCACTGTATAGATACTTGAACACACCTCAAAATACGCATATCTCTAGCAACAAAGACTCAGCACGCGAGGGATGTGGGATAGGGCTGGTCGTAAACACACCCATCATGCGCTATGCACGCACATCCAGTAACTCACCAGTGCAGAGGCTGCACGAGGCCTCGTGGATGAATATCGCCTGCACAGCGCATCCACTCGACACGGGAAAGACTGGATTAGATACGTCTCGGCTCGACACGGGAAAGACAGCATTAGATACTCTTAGGAACGCGTCGCTGGATAACAGTGTTTCGAGATGACGACGACGAACAATAAAAGAGTACGAGGGTGTATGAAGCTTCAAGTGCTTTCAGGAAGTTCCTGCTTTCATTCCCTGTGCGGGAAATAATCTGTGAAATCATCGAGGCATGTCATCACGTAAGTGTAAACCAGGAATGGCAACTATGTCCCATCCCCGCCTTCTGAGGGGCCTCAAAAGCCATGGCACTCACGCGCCCCATCCCCGCTTTCCCGTTTTGTTCAACCCAGCCCCCAGATGTGCCCACGAATGCCACTTGTCTCATCCTGCAGTTCACCTTCGCACGGGTGATATCGTCCCGCCCTCCCCCACATCCTCCCTCACACGCCCCCTCACACACACCGGACACGTTATAAGGAGCCTATAGACTTAGCCACCTCACTCGCGCCTCCCACTCGCGCCTCTCACTCGCGCCTCTCACTCGCGCCTCTCACTCGCGCCCCTGACTCGCGCCGTCTCACCCGCGCCGTCTCACCCGCGCCGTCTCATCCGCACCGTCTCACCCGCGCCGTCTCATCCGCACCGTCTCACCCGCGCCCTCTCACCCGCGCCCTCTCAACCGCGCCCTCTCACTCGCGCCCTCTCACCCGCGCCCTCTCATCCGCGCCGTCTCACCTTGCATTCAACCAGGCACGGATGGCGCAGCGGCATCATCCTCTCCGCCTCCTTCACACACGCCGCACACTGCGCCGCGCCTTCCGGCAGCGGAACCACCCGCAACACCCACGCGTCACCCGGAGCTACTCCGCTGCCAGACTCGCAAGGTCCCTCCGCAAATAGCGCTGCACCATGGCTGGCGAAGCTCGCAGCTTTACCCGCTTTAAGCGATCTATCGCTACTAGTTAAGCCGTTACTACGCGAAGCGCCCTTTTCGCGGACTAGGTAAAATTTCCCATGCGCGCCACGGCTCAGCTCTGCTACGACCTCATAGCCGTTCATAATCGGGTGGCACATGTGCGGATCCGCCGCCGCTGCTTCTAACCCGACACGACTCGCGCTTCGATTCAAACATCTCCCATCCGCATCCGCGCCACCATGACGGCTCTGCTCTTCCGCGTCCTCCTCGACGTCGCGAGCGATTCGACGATTGACTACTCTAACCGCCACTGCCCCAAACCCAGTGCCCAAGCCTAGGCGCTCCGATAGCGTATCAGATGTCGCTTCGGCTACCGCCTTAAGCCCGTTGTTCACGTGTTTCGCGCTCTGGTTCGTGTCAAAAATCGAAGCAGGTTCGTGGCCCCGGTGTTTCGCTACATCGAAACCATCCATTAGCAAAAGGAGAGACAACGCTACCTCACTACATGCGCCTGGTTCTTATATTCGGGCCTAGTACTACTACTGACAGGCAAGTTAACTTAGTACAATCGCGACTCGGCAAGCTACTACGTAACAGGGGATAATCTGACACAAAATGGCACGTTTCAAAAACCAAGAGCGAAGTAGATTGCAGTCTGCTATAACAGTCAGGAACCAGAATTGGCTGTTGATTTCTGCTTACTGACGTTTCCTAGTCCAATCCTACGTCCCGACGTTTCAAGTCTGACAACATTGTCGGCTACCTACTTTCCGTCTCTCCGTGTGTGACTTCAAGCGGCCGACGGCGCCTGGGATGTTACGCGTAGAAACACCCGAAACATTGATTCTCACGATACTTGCGTGGCACGTTTTGCTTGCTATCAGCGTTGCTGAGTGCACGTCCCCGAACGGGTAAAGAGTAATGTCCGAAAGCGTCAAGTCACAGATGAAGTACGCAGTCCCCGAGATGCTTTGCGCCACTTCAGATGAAGTTCGACGGGAACAGCCATTCCGCATTCTCCCGCAGCACGAAAATGACGAGAGAAAGCAGCGAATAGTCAGGAAAGTCCAAACGAACAAACGCTTGAGTGGGCGATTCATTTGGCGAACCCTGCTGTATCAGCAAAGGAGCGGAGTTACCAGCTTCGTAAGTGTCCATTGCGAAAGACTCGGCCACAAAGCAGTACGAGGGCATAGACCCTCGACAGGCTGGGGAATTGCGATGTGTGATTGGACCTTCAGCCCCACGCTTGCGCCAAGAAATTACTCGCGGCTCGATGAATTTTCCCAGCCCTTGGCTTTCGTGCCTCCCTCTCCAAGCAAGCGGACGGGCCAATCAATTCACATAGGCAAACAGTGCGCGACCCGAAAATGCCCAGCCTTTCAGTACAAGTAGTCACACCTTTTTTCCCAGACCACTTTTGAGATGTCACGTCACGTCACTTGCGTGGCGGATGTCTTCGTTAGAGAGGTTTGGTACATTCGCGATACTACTGGGATGGTAGTGAAAAATATACCGGAGTTTGTTGCTAAGTACAGACTATGTCTCAGGAAAATGTCCTGATAAACTCACTCCTTCGGTAATTAGAAAGGCGAACATATGAGGATAATAGTTGCTGATACACGTAATATGAACATCACATGCATCATTATTGCCTAACCTTTCCCACCCCTACCTCCTCCCTCCACCAATTACACCTCCCACCAACAGTCATCTCGAAGATTATCCACAGAATGAAGGGCTCAGTCTAGATGGTTTGGGCGAGCTGGCACTCGGTGGTGTTGGTCATGGAGTAGCTGTTGCCGTTGCCGAAGCGCAGCTCCTGCACGCAGGGCCGGAAGTCCCACAAGTACGCATACACAATGTTGACCGTCTCCCCAGGGAGCATCTGCAGAGTGCCGCTCGCACCACGGTTCATGCGCATCTCACAGTACCCCGGCGTCGTCTGCACAAAGATTTCGCCTTGCTGGTACTGCGAGGGGTTGGGATCGGGGTTGTCGAGGATGCCCTCCCACGCGTTGCCGAAGTTGAAGCACTGCCACACGCGCAGCGGGCTGGTGACGTTGTAGGCGCAGCCGTTGTAGAAGGTCATGTTGTAGATGTCGTTGTGCAGGTCGTACGGCCCCAGGTACTGCGAGCGGATCGTCACCGTCGTGCGCCCACACGCTGTGAGGAGGACAGGGGAAGGAGGGGAGGGAGAAAAGGGGAGAGAGGGGGCAGGAGTGAGGTTGCGTTGTGCAGGTCGTACGGCCGCAGGTACTGCGAGCGGATCGTCACTGTTGTGCGCCCACATGCTGGGAGGAGGGAGGAGATGTGGAAGGGTGGAAAGAGGAAGGTAAGCATGTAATCAGAATTCAGATTGTCACCACCATGCACCGTACACTAAGCACATAACAGAGGAGGAGGCAACGGGAGCAGAGGAATGAGAGGCAAGGGGAGCAGGGGAATGAGAGGCAAAGGGAGCAGAGAAATGAGAGACAAGGAGAGCAGAGACAGGTTGTGAGGAGAAGAAACAGCAGAGCGAAGGAACCAAGGAAGGTAAGAGAGGGAGAGTGGGGAGCAGCGTTGCGTACAGGTGGCGAGGGCCTGGCGGCGGGGGATGTGGTCGAGGTAGCCGGGCAGAGGCTCATGGTGAGCGAAGGTCTCAGCCGCCAGAATGCGCGCGCCCTTCCTCTGCTGCCCCGCAGCGCCAGCCACTCCGCCAGGCGCGGCGCCATCCGATGGGACGAGGACCCTGGCGACCTTCATGGCGTCCCGCGCTCCACTCACCGCCGCCGCCAGCAGCCCCACCGCCAGCGCCGCCAGAACCAGCACGCGCATCCCAGCCGTCGCCATGAGGAGAGACGCGGAGATAACAGGAGAGAGGCGAGAAGCGTGAGAGGTTTGGTGAATACCTCAGTGGGAGAAGTTGTGGGAGCACTGGGCGAGCTGATGAATTGCTGACGGCCCATCACGGCTGTTTTATAGGTGGGGATAGACCGTGAAATGCGGTGCGTGGATGGTGCTAAGGGAGGGTTTCTCTCCTCTAGCCCGGAGGAGGAATCGCCCTTCCTGCTGCAGCTGCTGGTGTTGGTGCTGAGGAGCCATCACTGCTGCGGCAATGGAGGAGGCGAGCAGTCAGAACGGCACGGCAAGAGTCACTGTCGACTGCTATGCTGCCTACAGGAATCGATCCTCTCACATCGCCTCTGCCAACCTGCTTCTTCTCTCCTTCCCACACCTGCTTGGAATTCCCACTCGGCATGTCCGCTTCGTGCGGCCGCTGCTGCACGTTGCGAGGTGCCGTGAGACACGGAGGGGCGACATACCAATGGTCGGTCGGCAGCGAGAGTTCCAGCGGATCTGCGAGGCTCCATATCTCGCCGACACGTGGTACACGTGGGACACGTGCGAAATGCCAATGATCGCCAAGCCGTCATGCTAAGCGCTCCAGCGGCTGTGCCGCGAGGCTCAGATCTCGCCGACGGATGTGCAGTCGGGATGCTGAGAGAACGATCGGCGGCTCAATCCGAGTCGCAACAACCATGACTGAGTCGACAGCGACACGGCGGGCGTGGAATTCCGCGCGGCAGCGGCGATGCTATGAATGGATCGCCCGACGGTTAAACAAAACGAACTCAAGCGATTTCTCGTATCAACATCAGCCACTCTCCCATGTCGTCGAAGCTCCTCTGGCAACCCAACCCTCCTTGGTAGACCTAGAGGGACGGTTAACCGACTGTCTCCGAGTC